CTGGACACACCGAACGCTGATCGCTCCAGCACATCCACACTCGACTGTGGCTAACTACGCGCCGAAACCCCCAGCGCGACCCGCTGACAAGGCAGCGGTATCCGACTTTGTCCTTCATCGCTAATCGGTTACCCGATTCGTCCGTGACGCGCTACAACTCGCGGTTGACAAGCAGAAGGAAAACGCTGACAAACGTGACCGCAAGAACACAAGCGCATTCAAGGTTGGTGAGCGTGTATTACTCTCAACAGATGGAATTCGTACCTCTGCTATTACGAACCTAGGCGCGAGCAAACTCGCGCCGCGCTACATTGGGCCATTCAAAGTACTACGAGTTATGTGTGATGCCTACACACTAGACATTCCTACGTCGCTACGACTACACCCGACGTTCTACGTCGGGCGACTTAAGAAGTATCTTCCCGCGATGATCCCGGAGGCGGAGCAGGAGCATGCGTTGAGCGGCCCTCGCGATGAGCCTGTCGAGCCAGCGTCCCATCTGTCCCAGTTCCCCGCTCGCGCGGAAGAGCTCCACCCCTCGGTCCGCCAAACACCTGCGCCTCCAGACTACGCAGTCGCTGCAAGAGTTCACGATTCGACTGCCGCAGACTACTTGCCGTCGCCTCGGCGTTCCGAGAGCTCTCAGCCGCCCGCTCGGCCTCCTCCTGTGCGTCCCGAGAAGTGTTCAGCGCCTGCTCAACGTCGTCCTGGTCAACCAGGTCGCGTCGAATTCCACCGCGACGGTCCTCCGCCCATCGTTGACTCGAATGGAGAGACGTGCTGGATTGTGGACCGTATTGTTGATCACGAAGATTCCCCCCTGCGTGCGTCACTCGACCAAGTCGTCGGCTCAACACGCGGCTCCCGCCGCGCGGAAGTATAAGGTACGATGGCTCGGGTTTCAACCTGCTGATGATACGTGGGAGCCTCGCGCCAACTTGCTTCGTGACGTTCCTGATGTCGTCCACGACTACGACTTCAGCCTTGAGTCAAACGCGGCCGCGAGCGACCTCGCGGCGATCGAGAACGCGATCGACTACGCGCCCGACGAGACGTCGAATGCGCAGGAGACGGGCTCTGTCGCGAACGCTGTCGGCGCGAGCCGCCGCGAATAGCCGCTTGGGTGAACTCGGAGAGTGAGCGCTTATACTTCTCGATCCAGGCGTGCTCGGTCGGCATGAGCGGATACTCGACAATATGCTGATCCCACTCAGCTTGCGTCGGGCGTCGCCCGATGTCACACGAACTGCAACCTTCGCGTACTTTGACATAGCACAAACGGTCTTCGGTCCAAGCGTCGTCGCAGACTTTCAGGCGCAGATCACCGAGTGAATGCTCGGCTTGTAAGGCTTCGCGATCACCGAGCCAGCCGACGACACTTTCTCCAGCCTCATGCATCCGATTCCACCGTCGGATGAATGCGCACCATGATCTCTGCAAAGCTTCGTACGTCGCGCCGTCGAGTGTTTTGTTCCGGAGACGCCTGAAGCGCCGAAAGTGGTCCTGCATGGTGTCCAACGCGTCCGGGGTCACCGCCCCGGACAAGTCGTACAGTGCCCACGGCTTCATATCCTCGTTCATTACGCCGGGCCGAACCCCAAGTCGACTCACGCTCTCAGGTGCGATATCAGCGGTCCACCCACTGTTCAGCGTCGTCGCCGACGCTGGAGCCGTCCGCGTTGTTCCGCTTCCTGCCTGGCTCGCCGCCCCCGTCTGCTGCGCCATGTTGTTCTCGTCCGCGCAAGTTGTATTGTACTGCTCCTGGGCTTCGCAGGAGCTCCCGCCCGTCAAGTTCTCAAGCGCTCTCTTCTCCGCCATTTCCCAGTTTTTCCCGATTGTTCTCCGAAGCGCACCCCCGTTAGGTGATTGCTGTCTTAAGAGGGGGGTGATGTAATGGGCTCTCCCAAGTTACATATGTCGGTAGTTTTATAGGTTCTTTGTAGTGGCTCACACCATTACATAAGTAGGTAGATTTGCATTACAAAAGTAGGTGCAGCAGCACGCGGGTAGCGTGTGCTGAACTGCCGTCACCTTATTGGTTGAAATATGGGAAGCCAGACCCATAATCAACCAATAAGGAGTTGACGTGTATTTGAGTGGTCAGGGCAAGCCGCCCTGGACCTAAATAAAAACAGAGTTGATTTTCCTTCAGACTAAGTACTTGATTTCAGTATCACTGGACTTGTACGCTTCCTCATCACTACGTGTAAGCAAGTAACGGACGCCCCAGGCCCGTTACAGTATCTTGATCCCGGCGGCGATGCAGTTCGTGAAAAACCACCAACTGTCTCCTTGCAGATGAAAGCAATCGTGACAGGGGTAATTTTCCAGACGCCATATTATCCGATCTGTAGCACGCACATACCATTAAAGCTGGAGCTCTTCGTATGAGCTCCATCGCACTCAAGCACCGGTATCCAATTATCTTGAGCAGCAACCAAATAATCGAAGTAGAAAGGAAAGCTAGAAAGAAACGACATTTGTTGTCAAGTTGACAGCAGACTCTGGAACCAGAATTGAGGCCTACGAATGCTCTCAGAAATGAAGGGTGCTTGTCGTACCCTCCTTCTTCTACTGCCATTATCTTCTTTTCTTGAGCGATAGTTCTGTAAGTCAGCGCCGGTTGGTGATCAGCGCTCACGCTGTCAACTTGCTTTAGAGCTGACGCAACTCGTACACGAGCACATCTAAGTCCTGTTACCAATGCACTTTTAAACCAAGGCAGTTTAATTAGTACATTGGAGGAGCACCGCCCCACGGAATCGCAGCTTGTCGAGTGCACAATGTTTAGAGAGTTGAAAACCAGACGATAGGCGGGCAGAACGCAAGTTCTGTGTTTTAACGTTTGGATGGCTGCTTTGTGGTGAAAGAACCATGCCAGTCGCATACGTTAGACCTACAGCCCCAAGTGTTCTTGTGCCCCGAGTGACCTTTTGATCGATGGACTTGTTCACGTTAAACGCGTCCGCGCGATAAAAAAGCTGTACAGGCCAGCGCAGTTGCAAACACATTACACTCCGCGCCACATTAGATCACGCACCCACGTCGGTGGCTCTAGCTCACTCAAATTTTAGAGTTTGGGCGTGTTATTTAGATATGTTGCTCCTGCTATCGCACAAAATAGGCTACATGTGCTAACGATTTCGATTTTGCAGTTTCCACCAGGGCTTCAATACAAACAATTGATTTCGGCACTGCGACACATTAATCACGCACGGCTTAGAATACTGAACTCAAATACAATGCATCGTAATGATAGTGTCTAGTGAACATGAACGCATCAATAATGTATGGGGCGGGAGGTGGTGACGGACGAGCAGGCGGCGGACGTGCGGTCATCGGACGAGCAGGCGGCGGACGTGCGGTCATCACCTCCCGCCCCATACATTATTGATGCGTTCATGCTCACTAGACACTATCATTACGATGCATAGTATTTGAGTTCAGTATTCTAAGCCGTGCGTGATTAATGTGTCGCAGTGCCGAAATCAATTGTTTGTATTGAAGCCCTGGTGGAAACTGCAAAATCGCAATCGTTAGCACATGTAGCCTATTTTGTGCGATACACCGTTCACGCTAATTAGTCGGCCTCTGACTAATAGTGGTGTACGACTTCAGAGTCCCAAAAAATGTCCGACTAATCGAGGTATACTACTCATTGTGGTGTATGGCTATTTATGGTAGAATCCTAGAAGGTTAAATTTGAGCCGACTCCCCAGCTTCCGCGTAGCCCTTCTTGAACTCATCTTGATATTCAGTGACGATGTCCTGCAGGTCTCGGCCAAGCTGATCGACTTTCCAGTAGCCACAAGAGCCAACATCTAATCCACACAAAATCATGGACTTCTTAACCCAGTTGAGACCATTCTTATCTCTCTCGCAATTCACCAGTTGTACGCATTTTGCTGCGGTTTCTAAGAAGAATCTCTTATCTGGGTTCTGCAACGACCCGGAGCCTTGTCGCCAATCTCCACGTCGGATTGCAGCCATATTCCGCTGCTCACAGAGCCGTCGCCAGTGCTCCTTAATTCGCTGCATGGGAAACCGGTCAGCCGGTTGTATTAGGTATGTAGCATTAGCTGGAAAAAAAACTGGACTTTTGTGCGCAATTATTTCGCTACAGCGACGACATCGTCTCCACTATGACCGCTCGCGTTGTCCATACACAGTGTGCGTTCTTTGACGAAAGGTCCTCCTGGCCCCCGACAACGGACTTCATGCAGCCATTGCTGCATCAAACTGTTGTTTATGAAGGCTGTAGGTGAAGTTCGATACGCCGTCCCAGGAGTTGAATCGGGCAAGCCTTGGATTGGATAATTTGCATTCTTATTTTTGAAGATGATCATTGGGCACTCTATTTGTGCGTTGGTTCCGCCACGAAGAAGCACACACATTGTAATCCCTTCGCGTCCTGAAAAACACAAAAAAAAATAAAACGAGAATAAAAAAAGAATTATGAACTTACCAGAAACCACGCTACGATACTTGACGTGGGAGGCGCCATGGAAATCAAGAGTCTTGTCATCATCTAAGTCAATAAAGAAATGACTTTCATCCATGTTGTATTGCAGATCGGGGTCAATGAGACCGTCGTCGAATTGACGCTTTAGACGCCCTAGATGCTCTGCAACAGACGCGTGAATGACGCGCTGCTTTTCGCCGCTGACTTGCTTTTTGCCCTTAAGGCGGCGGTAGACAATGTCATGTCGGTCTGCGAAATCTTGGACTCGACGAGGTGTAACTAGATTAGTAAAGTTTTTACTGTTATATTTAAACGCCTTGTTGTACACTGGTTGAACACTGTCCTCAACCAAAGTCACCGCAATGTCTAATAGCAATCGCGATGACATTTTCACCCCCGCTTTACGTAAGCGATCAAACTCAGACAATAGGATAGGATACAGCCAGACCCAATGCTCACCCAGTTTAGGATCCCTCCCGACAGCTGTCTTCATGACAAATTGGTGACGGTTACCAGCTCCACTGCGCGCGAACTTTCGCTAGCGCTCTCCCTCAGGTTGCACTAGAGCATGGCGCTTGCTCCACCAGTCTTGGATCTTGTTCAGGTTGACGCGGCGGTCATCAGAGTGGAAGTAGGCTGGAAAGGCTTCGATGGCTTTGGCAGGGAGGGCCTTCTCTCCGTGTAATGCTGCTGTCACAGCCATCCACTCCACACACTTGATTCTGTCACTGACAGCGACAACATGCTGCAGAGAACGCTTGTCGTCGGTGCTCATGCGCAGTGCTAAAATACGAATAACAGGCAGTTATTAACTGCAGAGGATCTCGACAGCGACTGAGTGGCTGTGAACAACTGAACGACTAAATCTGGTGTATGACTAAAAATGGTGCACGACTAAAAATGGTAATAGTACTGTCTTGTCCTTTATAAGTACGAAGTATGACTTTTCGAACGACGACTAATTAGCGTGAACGGTGTAATAGGAACAACATATCTAAATAGCACGCCCAAACTCTAAAAATTGAGTGAGCTACAGCCACCGACGTGTGCTTGATCTAATGTGGCGCGGAGTGTATGGATGCTGATACTATGTCTTCCGAACTTGCTAATAAGTAAATCTTGCCTGCCTCCATGCTTGATAAGTTGTTGTGTGGAACCAATTCAGCATTGTTGAATCTGCATGTCTGATTTGAGGATATCTTCCTCGCAACCAATTAAATATGCGGACTTTCTTCAGCATAATTAACCAATCAAAATGAAAAAAAATGCCATGTAGATCAAATTGGGCCACTTACAAAAATACTGATGTATTTGTGGCCAGTCGTGATAAATTATCCAGAAAGCGTTCCCAGAACACACTTTTTTTACACCAAGCGTGTGCAATTCGGGCATAGCGTAGAAGTACACTGAAAAAAGCGGTACATGTATCCCAGTGTAAGTCGCAAGACGATCTACTTTTCTAAATGATCGCTATGGCTGTCGCCAGGCGAGGGGATAAATCAATTGGTCTATCCCCCGAAAATGAATTGCAATCAAAAGGAGAGATTGCACGACCGTTAGATATTGCAACCCAATTGGAGTGGAATCTGAAATACCGACAACGAATGCTGGATATTTTTGTAGTATCGAAGCCCTAATAGTGGCATAATTCCTCCCCTTAATAGCTCGAAAACTAAAACCAAGTTTCGAAAACGAAAAAAATTCAAAGCTGTTTTTAGAGATAGCCTTGGTGCTGGCACTGAATCTTTACACGACGTTACCAGCCACAACAGATGCAAACATAAGTGCTCCGAACCATTTGTTCGAAGCAAACCGTGCCTGAAGGTTAATGGGGTCGTCAAGTTTAGCAGTGTTTACTTGCCACGCCAAATGCGCAGCTCCTCCGGTAAGCCCCAAGAAAAACGGCCAGTCTAGACCAGCCATGTATCCCGCAGTGCCAAACCCGGCGATCGTAGCAGCCGAGAAGAGATTTAGCACCGGCTTCGTCTTGTCGCCAAAAAGCAGAGCTGTCGAACGAACACCAATCTTAATGTCGTCTTTCTTGTCCTGGTGGGCGTACAGCGTATCGTACACTAACGTCCAAGCCACACCACCAGCGTATAGCGGCAAAACCACGGGCCACTCGCATGATCCGTGAACCGCGGCCCATCCCAGCAACGCTCCGTAGTTGAACGTGAGTCCTAAGACTGCTTGTGGCCAATAAGTAAACCTCTTCATCGTCGGATATGTGGCAACGAGTGCGAGCGAGGAAGCACCCATTGCGATACTGTACCAATTAAGTTGCAGCAGTACCGCTAAGCCCGCCGACAATTGACCCGCAAGAAAGCCCCATGCCTGAGGGTATGTGAGCTTTCCCGCAGCCAGCGGTCTCTTGTTAGTGCGTTCCACCTGCTTATCAAAGTCCTTGTCCCACATGTCGTTGATGGTACATCCAGCACCACGCATAATAAATGACCCAGTGCCAAAGAGCGCCAAGAGCTTCAGATCCGGCAATTGACCCGCGGGGGCGGCCATGGCGATACTCCAGAAGCAGGGCCATAACAGCATAAATGTTGGACCCGGGCGGTTAATGCGCGCAATCTGGATGTATGGAAGCATCCACTCCGGAGCGTGACGCTCGGCCCACGTGTCCTTCTCCATGCGAAATGCGTCCTCCTTGGGTTGCAAAACACCAGACTTGTCTTTTTCATTGCTTTGCTTGATGTGAGGCAACGAAGGCGATGGGGACGTACTGAGCCACGATCTCTGATTACCAGAAGACGCGAATGCTTCACAACGAGTGGGTGGCTGCAGCGCGACGGAGGGCGAAGCACCAAAGCGGGAAAAACCAGAGCGAGTTGCTGGCCGGAAAGAGAGCTGAAGAGCTGACAGCGACGCACGGGGGCGCCCTGCGCGAGTGAGCAGGAGTCTGGCAGCCATGCGTCCACAAATTCAACTGTGACGTTATGTTAGGATAATAGGTAAAATCGCGATTGAAATATGACAATAGATGGTTTGACCGACTCGACTTTGCTGTATATTTTCTGTTGCTTCTGCTACATGTTGTACATGTATTACAGTACATGTTGGTTGGCCACTTTAATCTCAGCAACGCTACAGAAACTAACGCTACTGAGATTACTAAGCGCACTTCCAAGAGCTTGTGACACAGTGTATTTAGAATGATATCAGAGTTTATTTTCTTATATGCCAATGTAGACAACAATTTCAATGTTCTTATGGCGATTCCACAATTGTGGGACAGGTATGTGACCGCCCTGAATTGAGAGCGATTTCACGGATAAAGTTTAAACAGAGCGTTGGTCGCGGAATTCTCCACCCCCTTCCCGCTGGCAGTCATTTTGAGTTCTAGTTCCGTCACGTCAACTGAAATCTGGGAACAGTGCAGCTTGCGATGGAGTGGAATCACTCTCGCTATCAATCCCCGAGAGCGTTTCTGCAACAACCGCTTCGGCCTCGATATTGGTACTACGACAACGAAGAAGAAGGAGCTCAACAGGTCTGGCAGCGTGATGTATCACCGCAGCCAAGTCGTTACTCAAATAATGAGTTAGCCTCTACTCCGCCGATCCCCTCGCTCAAGATGGAGTCTCCTGGTCCGAATGGCAGCAATGGGAACGGCCCCATGTCGCTGCAGTCGTTCAGCTCGCTGGGTATGGGTATACCTCAACTTGAGGACTCAACTGAGATCCAGTCATTCCTTTTGCCACAGAACGCTGCATTTACGATTAATCCAGCTCTATCGCCAGTTTTGCCGCCACCGCCTTCCCAACTACAGCACCAATATGGGGCGCAACTCCCACTTCAGCTCTCATCGCAGTTTTCGGAATTTACAGCTGAGCCGGCAAGCTATTACCCGTCACCGATGCCGGTTCCTCCACTGCCAACGCCTCGGGATACTACTCGGTCGTCCGAGGACTATTTTGCTGAAGGTGAAATCGACAGTGGATTTTGATTAACCGGAAAGAGGTTTTACTAACGTGGTATATTTGTCTCTGTCCTCTGATTGCAGGAATTCCAACGCTCCACAGCGTGCACGGTTCGGTACCGACACTACCACTGAGTTTTGGATCTCTGGAGCAAACGCAGCAGCAGCAACCGCACGCTGCATTGGAAGATCAGAATGGCGGATTAAGCGAGCCATTCACCCAAATGGCCACCGCTCAGGAGCCCAAGTTCTCGCCGGACAAACGTAAATTATGCTGTGTGGAAGGGTGCAAGAGTCAAGCTCGAGCCTTTAACCGTTGCAAACGTCACGGCGGGTCGAAGCGCTGCTCGAGTCCCGGTTGTACCAAGAGTGTGCAAAGTCGCGGGCTGTGCATCCGCCACGGCGGTGGCTCTCGTTGTCAGGAGCCCGGTTGCACTCGAGCGTCGCAGAGCCACGGTCGTTGCAAAATGCACGGAGGTGGACGCCCATGCATTGTGGCAGGCTGCGAGAAGAAGGCGCATTTGAAGAGACTATGCCGGCGACACGGTGGCGGTGCCAAGTGCTGTGTGTCGGGGTGCGAGAAGTGGGCTCAGCGTCAGGGCATGTGCATGACGCACTCCAAGGTGGTGGCAACGCAGCCTACCGCTATCGGCATCATCGGCGACGTTGTTGCCTACGGGTCGCCGCCTCCACCGTCCGCTTCAGACTCGCCACCTCCATCGATGCACATGCTCACCGAAGTGTAGGCAGTTGTATTTGCGATTTTGAATTGCGCTTCGCGCAGATTTTCCCGTACCGATTTGCCGTTTCTTTGTTTTGTGCAGGGTTTTAATAAAAAGAAAAAAAAACGTGGATAAAACAAGTCCACATAAACTAAAGCAGGTTTATACCGGTGTTGTTTGCCGGTATATCGAGACAGGGAAGGGCACTAAAGCGAGGCACCTCGACGTTTTTTACATTTCCCTCCCCAAATTCAAACTCCGCACGAAGGAGACCTTCAAGCACCAGCCCACCAGTTCTCGAGCGACAGCGCGTGTGCCAACCAGCGACAATCGTGTCACTAGGCTATCTACAGTTATAGCCTCTACCCCGCAGTTGCGAACAGCGATCACGGCCTACCTCGCTTTAGTCAGCCGAGGCAACATGCTCGACACTAGCAGCTGTGGCTCAAAGCCCCTCGATGCCGAGACGTTTCGAGTGGCAGAAGAACTCATTATGCTGAGCAATCGCGCGGCGTCTGCCTCTTCCATGGACGAGAAATCCAACGATTCGCCCTCCAACATTTCAGGCTTTTTCGATTACGTACGAGGGTGACTTGTGTGCCTTGCTTGTACAGTGCGAAGGATGAGAGCGAAGTCTTATCGTGAAAATAATATCCTTTTTTTTTCGTTTAGACGCCAAAATCAAAGAAACAAGTGGCAAAAGTGACACAAGTGAAGAAGGGACGCTCGCAGAGGTATGGAGAACTACAGTGGAAGGTTCGAGTGCTGCTCTTTAGATTGACGTGTGAGTGTGTGTGTTTGTAGAAATCAATACCCTTTGCCTTTATTATCGAAGAAAGTACGAAAGTGAAGAAGATGCTGCACTAATCTGTATAGTTTAGATTGATAAATCGTTTTGTTGGTGGTGTCGAAGGCAAAGACAAAGGCGCGTTCGTCCCGTGGAGCTGCACATAAGAGCAGCGATCGAGACGGCGTGAAGCAGGAGCCTGTACTTGTACCATCTGTGCAGTCGGCAGTACGTTGCAGATTAATTGTTTCCTAGTGTTTATAGTAGTTTTAACACGTGTGTGGCTTCTTTTTTGGCAGCAGGACATTATTAACTCGCGCTGTGATCTCTCCCAGTCGGAGCTGTTGAAGGAGCATCGCGTCCGTTTCCGCCGCGTTCGTCGGAGGTAATAAACATGTGATGGCACGGAAGTGGTAGTGACACGATTCAAACTAAAAATGTTTCTATGTGACCGCAGGTGGAACATCGAGCAGCGTACCAAGAAGAAAGAGTATCTGGCCCGGTTTCACGTGCAAGGCATCCCTCTCGTGCAGCACCTTGAGGCGCTCACGCACTGGCGGTAGTCGGCCGGATGCCCCCCTCAGAATCTATGCGCTTCATGCCAAAAGGACTGGCGAAACATACTTCAATATGAGCTGGTCGAGGAGCGCGCAATTCAAGTAATCGACAGCAATTGATTTTGGAAAGTTTTGTGCTCAGTTTGGTGCCCAAATCTCCCAGATTGAAAGGTCGGTAATTGCTGTGCAATGGGGTTGTTTCCACGACTTAGAACACACTAGTGAAGATGTTGACAACACCACCGCTTATCCAATGGTGGAGCATCCCAGCATTTGTACCGTAGTACTGCAGTCATCATCATTTTGTTCCACCTCCATACTATATACCCTGCGAAACGTAAAAAGGTTTTGGAAGGCTCTTCAGATCGACACGCAAGCGGAAAGAGATCCCTCTATAAATAAATTCACACAAATTGCATAAAAAATGAAGTACTGCCGGCACCCGCGTGGTGAGATACGTACCGTCTCTTACGCCCCTCTAAGTTTCTCAATTTGTTCTTCTTCCCCCTATTTGAAAAGAAACTCAGAGTCAAAGCGGAGCTGTTTTTCGACGACGAGATTGCCGCGGCAACACGATACGCAGCGTGCACCACACAGCCAAGCGACAGCAGAAGCCAGCGAAGGACAAGACGGCGCTCGAGATCGCAGCTAACGAAGCGCTCTTCGGTCAAACCGGAGGAAGCGCCGACGAAACGTGGACATTAGGGTTGTCATCCACGAGCAGAGGCGGTAGCGGAGGCGGCGGCCCGTGGGGCTCGGCTGACGCTAATTGGTTTGGTTCCAGCCCTTCACAAGCAACTACAGCAACAGCAACTACAACAGAAAGCTTTTTCACTCGCAGTGGCATCCACAACCCAACCCATAGTGGCAACAGTGTCGGCAACAGAGAGTTTAAAGCGAAAGGAGGCGGCGACTCGTTGCCGCTGCCAGGCGTGGACGCCCCTTCAATGGGCAACTACGAACGCGATGGCCACTTTCGCATGCCAATGGCGCTTCGGATAACAGGTCAGCAACAGGTTTCACAGGCCGCGGCAACTTCTACAACTTCCCACCATTTGCCACACAGAGTGAAGAACACCCCGCTTTCAGGCAACAGCAGCAACTCTTCGAGTACAGTACCCTACTTTCACCACTTTCTGGACCGAAGCAGCAGCAGCAGCTCCACGACCTCGTTGCTCTTCAACCAAACGAGCAGTGTTGCAGAGAGTTTGCCTGTATCTGCAGGGAAAAGACCGCGAACAGGCGCCACTAACAGCACAGCCAGCAGCAACTTTTTAGCACCGTTAGGGTTTCCCTCTCCACTGTTTGAGACGGAGCACCCATTACCAGATTTCAGCACCAATTGGGGTTTTAGCAGTCGGAATGTGCCGAGATCCGGCTTGTCGACGTCAACTGCTCCACTTTCCAGTAGCGCCACCATGACAACGACCAGCCACAGCATGAGCAATGTCACTACCACGTCGAATTTATCAGGAATTGGGTCCGGATTCTCGTCGCCGAATGGGGCGTCGATGTTTGCAGGCGTGGACTCTTTTTTGCCGGATTATGACACGTCGTTGTATTCGCTCTGGAATGCTCCGGGAGGCGGCAGTGTGATGGGCTACGAGGCGGAGACCGACGCAACACAGGGACAACAGCAACAGGTCCAGCCGCCATTGTACATGACCTCAGATGACGAGTTGAAAATGGACTATCCGCAGCTTCCAGAGTTTAATCAAGACTTGGATTCCTATCTGAACGACACCATAGAGTCCGGTGCTTCCTCCACGACTGCACTTGGCACGACTACTAATAATGTGATGAAGATGGACCATTTAGTGACGACTGACAGGAGGGCAGGTGCTGGTGTGACAACATTGAGTGCCAGAGAGCCCCAATTGGAGAGGCTGCTCGCTCCAGCGGCTGCAACAGCTACTGCGGAGTTTCTAGTCAAGCGAGATCGTGGTTTAACGGGCCTAGAGACGACTGCGCGCATGTCCAAGAGACCTCGTGGAGCTTACGACGACGCGTACGCAGCTGCGCCGGTGAGTAGTGGCTCAATGGCCGGCTCTACCCCGAGTAGCAGCGCTGCCTCTTTCCGAAGTCTGACCAAGAACCCAACCATTGAGCCGAAGCGGGCTGTGATGCCGTCGTTGGGATCGTATCACAGCGGACAGTCACTGTTAATGCTCACACCCACGTCGACGAGCACGACGCTTATGGTCTCAACTGGTTTTGATGCTTCTACGACACCCACGACTGTAGTCACGTCGACATCGAAAACTGCAGCAGCTGTAGGCAGCACCAAGGCGTCGAAGCGTCCACGCAGCCGACAATGTGAGTTCCCTGGCTGTCCGAACAGAGCGCGATCGCACCAGAAATGCAAAAAGCACGGCGGTGCGCACCAGTGCGTGTTTGAGGGCTGCACGAAGAACAGTCAGAGCCGAGGACTGTGCATCGCTCACGGCGGTGGCTCTCGTTGCAAGAGGGAAGGCTGTGTGCGTGCAGCCCAGTCGAAAGGTCTGTGCAAATCTCACGGTGGCGGTGAATACTGCGCCGTGGAAGGCTGCAACAAGAAGGCGCATCTGAAACATTTGTGTCGTACACATGGTGGAGGCGTCCGCTGTAAGTTTGAGAAATGCTCCAAGTGGGCACAACGCAAAGGGTGGTGTATGGCACACGCGAAGGAGTTTGCGGCGACATGATGACGAATAAGTTTATTGCTTGAAGAGAGATAACAAACAGGGTAGTATTAAGTAGCTGGTGGCTATTTTTTTTATTGAGAGAGCACAAGTGAGCTATTATGGACACATAAACCTTCACTACCATACTACTACTTCGAAGTAGTAATAAAGCGAAAGTGGGCTTTATTGCTGCGTAGGAGATAGCATTAGAGAACGTCGACTGAACCCACTGTAACTCTGATGTACAGTGTATCACTCCACAACATACACAGACGCGCACTCGTAAGAAAATACTTTTTCAAGTGGACTCCAAAAAAAACTTGAGCGCGTCAGAATACTGACTGGGGTTGCGCTCTGACCTTCCGCTTGCACCTTTGCTTCTTCTTGCCCCCCTCGCCTTTAAGACTTCGTCTTCTTTCCCGGTGCGTTCATACCCTCCGACGCGGAAGCTCGACGTTATCACTCTAAACTATGCTATAAGTAATTCAAAACGGTCTGCTGTGTTCGCGCAACAGAAGGAGAAGCCATCCCCGAGCTGGCAACAGAAGACGGTCCCGGGCTGCTCCCTGGGCTCGGAAGACTCTCCTCGTCGTGGTCAGGATCATCGTCAGTACTCGATGGCGACAGAGGCGTGGGGTCAAAGAGATTGTACAGCTCGGACCACGGCAGCTCCTCCGTCGAGACAACTCGTCGAGCTGGTTGCTCCTCCTGGAACAATGAGTGCGTTTGAAGTCCTCCGGGAACTTGCAGGTGGTTCATATGTACCTGTTGGTGCTGCTGGCTGATCATCATTTGCTCTGCCAGTCGCTGAATCAGTTGCTGCTGGTGCCGCAACAACTCTTGCTGCTCGCGTTGGTGTCGCTGGAGCTGTTGGTTCTGCTGGTCGATGAGCAGCTGCTGCTGCTGGTGCCTAAGTTGCTGGGGCTGTTGCTGTTGTAGACCTGGGTTCTGTAACATGCCGCCACCACCCATCAAGTCGTCAAGACCACGGTAGTCGAAGCCCGACGATGCGCTGTCCACAAGGACAGAGGACACAGGAGGACATACCGCCATTGGTGAGGATATCGAGCCGAAAATATTCTCCATCTTGAACGGCGGTACATCTGTCATTGGCGACGTGACGTCCACAAAACCTGTACAAGTAGACGCCGAGGGTGGCGTCATGCGCACAGCGGAGGAAGAAACACTGGGACGACGTCCATTGGTCATGTCTTCCTCAGAGGGCGAAAAGATCGGGGAAGCACTTAAACAGCTGGAAACAACTGTCGACGCCGGTGATGCCGGGGGCTGAGACATCAGTGCATGTGCTGAAGGCGAGGCTGCTCCTGTCCGCGTCGCACGCTTTCGCTTGAGATTTCTGTCGTCCAACGTCTCCTGGTTCTCGAAAGCCTCGGCTTCGGGCTTGATAGCGGCGTGACTAGCTCTTCGACTGGAGTAGATAGAGAAGCCGTCTGAGCGTAGACGCTCGAGACAGTACATGTAAGAGCCCATGGGTTTCATGAACAGCACCTCCAATACATGTTGCGCGTCGCTCCCAGATAGCCCCTGGCCACGAGGTGCAGTCCAGCCGTAATGCCAGGCCTTGCACTCGGCGTTGAACTCGAAGATCGCTGACTGAGACGAGGTCTCCATAGCAGCACCACGTAAAATCCCAGGGAACAGCGGATTCATCGGGTGCTGCTTGTCACGCACCCACGCGAGCACGTCTGTCTTCTCAATAGTCTGTCCAGGGAAGACCTCGGGCCCCGAGACGGTCTGGTCAAACGTGCCCTCGAGGTTCAGAAAGCGTGCAAAGGCCAACACGGCCGGACGTGTCGTCTGAATGGGGCAAATCTTGACTCCTCCTGACTCCGTCACGCGACTGACAGCCACGTGCACTCGGATGGAATCTCCACAGAAGCCAGAGCTCACGTGGCGGCCATTTCGACAACAAGGGAAGCAGCGTAAGTTCTTCTGTCCTCCTTTCTTGTTGTTGCGCTGGTAGCGCGGTCGGAAGAGCTGGAAATCCTTGGTAGGAGCCACAAAAGACGCGCGTACGTTCAGTCCGTGTGGATTCTCGCACGAATCGTTGCAGCACGGGCCAGGAACGCTCTGATACACGAGATTTTCATCTTCTTCGGGGTCGTCGCCTCTCATGGGTTTAGTGTTGCCGTCCGACTCGATCCAAGTGCCGAAACCTGCTTCAATCTGGTACGTAGGGGGCTCCAATAGTAGCGAGTCGCGTGCTGCCAATAGTTTGTAAAAGTCCACGCCGCTCTCGACCGTTGATGGGTAGATCTGGCGCATTGCCTGTAATCCAGAGTACTTGACCTAGAATAAATATGGAAAAGTTAGCAAATTACGACTAAAATAAGGCACGAGTCCGTCAATTCAGACACGTACGATCGACGTGTAGGTGAACTCTCCAGGTGGCGGACGCACCACGCACGTGGACACGTGACCCACGGTGTGTGTGGTCTTGAGGATCATGCGAAGTAAGCGCTCGAACTCTTCTACGTGGCGAGGGTCTACGCACATGCGTGTGACCATTACGGCCTAAGTAAGAGACGCATGTACAGTTATCATTAATCCGAATGATCGATCGGCCGTGAAGTGTCCGAGATGCGTCAGAGAGGTACAGGCACAAACCTCTTCATCGTCCTTGATGTTTGTGGATTGCAGCACCTCCTTAAGCATACGGAAAGACAGAAAACTGCGCGTGAGCTCGGCGCTCTTGGCCTCTTGGTCCCCCATCGCGTTGAGCTGGTATTGGGTGCTTGGGTGGAAGATCACGGGTCCTCTTCTTGCCTTTAAGTGCTGCACTGTACTGTATGTATGATGTTGTCCTGTGCGCGCTTCGTTCTTCGTGTGTAGGGTGAGTGGTGCGAAGAGGGACCATCACTCTGTGAGACTTCGTCTGGGATATCTGATACTTAAAATAGCGGAACCTGTGCTACATAAATTAGATATTTTAGGAGTGCATTGAAAGCATAACTACTACCATTTATAAACCCTCCATATTTGATCGATGCCTTTGAAATTGAATAGTTTGCAGTGAAGGTGACGACGTTTTTCTGTAACGGACATCAATTCACCAATCACAGCGCCACATTGATTAAACTTCCAAAATAATTACAAGCGTGATCGCTGCTGATTACGGATAGTGATCAGAGGTCGCAAACGTAATTTTCCGGTTAACTGAAAGCCCTTGTCATCGAGTTTCGGATGACCATGGCCAACCGTACGGCCTCTGACTCCCCCCCCCACATAATACCAGTGTGCGTCTAGGAGCGCTGATGCTCTTGCAATAGTGCTCCAGCGGCTACCGGGTTGTCGACAGTGGCGCTGCTGCTCGTCTGCTGCTCATTGTGCTCCAGCAAGGCCTTGCGCATCGAAGCGCACAACTCCAGCGTCGGCAGTTGTGATATAGTCGGCTTCGTAGCCCCCTCAGCTTGGCTGGGGTCGGTAGCGTCCTCATTGTTCTGCCTATGTGAGGACACTGATCTGGTATGGAGACACGATGCAAACCAGATTCAGAACACAGTTGATCAAAAAGGAAATGCATGCTGCCTCGACAACGCAAGGCACCTACCTACCTCGACGTCTTCTTCGCGTTCGACTTCTTCCGCGAGTTGTTGGGTTTCATGTGAGCAGGAGTTGGAGTTGTGCCGTCGTCGCGCACCGGCGACTTAAAAAGAGTGTTCGGACATTCTCTGGGCGAAATCTTCCGAATTCCTAGCAGCTGGGCAATCGAGTACTCGAGTTTGTCAGGGGTACTATCTTCTGTTTCTCCACTTCCACTCAGGACCCGGTGGCTCATTAACGCTCGCTGCTTTCTCACCCGATTTTGCTGAGCGTTTTGTTTCATTGGTCCGATCCTCGGTGTTGGCAACAAATTCCTCGCTAGCTTCTTCTGACGGCGACTTTGTCAAAAACACTCCAGCGTCACTAGTGTTAGCCTGGTCCTCGAGCTCATGCGATGCATTCTCCGAGTTGAGCTTTCCTGCCAGAATATCGGCCAGCGATCCCAGCTCCACACGCTCATATCGAACGCGATCCTGCGTCATTTTATCAGCAGTGTTTGCCTGAACCTGTGCTATTTCACTAATCTCGTCCCGTGCAACTTTCGCCATCTGTGTATCCCTGCTTACTGGAGCAGCTTCGGTTGCTTCAACTAATTTACTCTTCGGGCTCACGTCGGATACAACAACCTCAGCACCACCGTCGTCTTTGTCGTCACGCTGAGCTGTCCCCCAGCCGTGCAGCGCTCTATCCTCCATATCCACACCTCCTGCATCAACCTTCTTCTTCTTCTCGTCACAGACCAAATCGTCCGGAACCGGAGTAGTAGCATAGTACTCATCAAAGCACCTCTTGCAGTAGTAACATCCGTCATTCTCGTCCAGGATAGCCTCCTTTTCAGCTCCTTCACACGTCGTGCATGGCGGTACCTCCCGCTTTGTCTCCTTTTCCACCGACTGCAGTGTGTTGATCAGCTTCTGCGCTTTCCTCTTCAGTGCCTCTGCCCGCCTCACCCCTTGATACAGCACTCGATATCCCCCCAGAACGTCCCGGAGTGAGCACTGCTCCACTATTTGCAACGCGTAGTCCAGATTTTGCACGGCCTCCTGCAGCAGCTTCGACGCCGTGGGACTTCCCTTTGACTGCATTGCAATCTGCACACAGGCTTCACCGATGTTCCCGGAAAGCACAAACATTCCTGCATAGTCCTGTGAGGCATACGCGCCACTCAGCGCCTCCTTCCATGTCTCCACCGCATGCTCGTCGAGTCCTTCGTTGGCCAAGATGCGGCCCTGGCGGATGGCATAACGGGTATCTTCCATTGGTCAAAAGGTCAAGTGTTCTTGAAGCAATTTTATCGTAAACATGTCTAATATTCCCCCTAATAAAGCTCTGTAAAACAGTTTTACTGTAAAACTTTTACTAAAACTAGAGGCCTCACTCTTAAAGATGGCACGGAAGGACCCCGTCGAAAGGTTCTTGGAACTCCTGCGTCTGCGCACTGTCAGCGCGGAAGGACCAAGTGGCAGCTACAATGAGGTAACGCAGAGTTGATACGGCGCTAGCATCGCTATGAGGAGCTAATTAGTGCGCTGTCGTCGGTTTTTGAGTGTGCACAATGGCTTCGTGGATACCTGGAAGAGCGTAAATCGAATGCATCCAATTTGCAAGAGAAATTACCTGACTATTAATAATTTGATCTGCTTGTAATCTTTCCAGTTGGACTTCGGGTGCAGATTTTCTCGCCTGTTGATGGCAAACCAGTCGTTCTGGTACGGACACCCCAATTTCACTAGTGCAGTGCTTTCCTGTTTATGACGTTGAGGTGTTGGTTGATGTAGGCGACATGGGAAGGCGAAGACCCAACTCTTCCTGGCATAATCCTGAACTCTCATTATGACGTGGTGCCAGCAATGGCCGAGCACTGGCAGTACGACCCCTTCGATGTGAGCTTGGCTTTCGTGGATGCTTACTAAAAAGCGATAATTTGATGGGAATTTGCCTGCTGCGTTCGGGACTAGGCAAAAGTGCTCGAGTATTTACGGGCGAGGGGCTCAGGATATGAAGAGTGTGTGTATTCAGTACGTGGAAGCAGTGCACACTCTCATGTCTTCGGGGTTCAAGCCCAAGCGCAACATTTACCTGCTGTTTGTTCCGGACGAGGAAATTGGAGGTGCCGCGGGAATGGCCAAATTTCTGGAAACCGACCAATTCAAATCGATCATGCCCGTTGCTTTCGCATTTGATGAGGGGTTGGCTAATCCGGGTGATGCATTCACCGTCTTCTACGGGGAACGGTCTCCGTGGTGGGTGTATGTTAAAGCCGAGGGACCCACGGGCCACGGCAGTCGATTTATCAAAGACACAGCTACCATGAAGATCATTGACATTTGCAACAAGGCACTAGCATTCCGTGACGAGCAGGAGAAGGCTCTTGGAGCGGACAACGGGTGTAAACACGGTGATATGAAGAAGAAAAAACTTGGAGACGTCACAACGATTAATATCACGGCGCTACAGAGTGGAGTTTCTCAGGATGGTGGGAAAACCCACGCACTTAACGTGATCCCGACGGAAGCTATCGCTGGTTTTGACATTCGCGTATCGCCTGAGATGGATATGAACGCGATGAAAACTAAGCTGAATGAATGGTGCGCTGCCGAGGGGGTATCCTGGGACTTTGCCTCGTGGACGGACCCACTGCACGACCACTACGTTACTTCCCTGGATGCGGACAACGTGTGGTGGCAGCGTTTTCGGAAAGCGTGTGCCCAAATTGGAGAAACGCTGGAGACGGAGATTTTTCCAGCGGCTACTGACAGTCGCTTCCTGCGCCAGTTGGGCGTCCCAGCAATCGGCTTCTCACCCATGAAGCGAACCGAGATTCAGTTACACGAACACAATGAGAGCCTCCCTAAGGATACGTTTCTACATGGCGTTAGCGTTTACGTGAGTGTGTTCCAAGAGATGTTTGCTTAGGCCCAGTCTCAACCAACCGGCATCGAACTGCACGGTCCACAAGTTCGTTTCTTCCGGTATACGCACTGGTATACGAATACAGTAGTATGCCTTAAAATCATAGTCAAATGAAACCCTGCTTGTTTGCCAACTAACCATGCGAGAGCCTGTGGCGAGGCATCACACGGCAATTACCATACATGCGCCACCACCGGCTAATAAATTATAAATGAAAGCAGTAACAATTTGAAGCACTTCCTTATTTAAGTGTTGAGCTCACTTTGCTTGTTTCCAAGCTCGACATCTCTACTTCTTCTTAAGAGAGGCGAGATACATTCCCAATGATTTCTGCACCTTGTCTGTCTGCGCAAAGTCCGTAAACGCCTCCAGATCTTTCTCCCGGATGGAAATCAGTCGGTCCGCCGTCTCCTGGCGCATCAGTTGTTTGGTCTTGATACGCGCCGCGTCTACCGTGTCATCAGCAGCAACAAATTAGCCGTCCATAGGTTTACTGCTGCACTTAAGATCAGTGTACCAGTAACCTACCTGGAATAGCGAGCCACTTGCCCATCGCAGCCTCGGCACGCGGGAATACTTCCTCCACGGCCACAGCCTCGTCCACCAAGCCAATGGCCTTCGCCTTGGTCGCATCCACCTGCAGTCCGAGTCCCAGCATCTTCTCAGCCTCACGGTGGCCGATAGTATTGACAAACGTGTCACGGAACCACGTGGGGGCTACAATGCCCAACTGTGTCTCGTTTAGGCCGATCATGGGCTTGCCACTCGTCATGATGCGGTAGTCACAGCACATGGCCAGCAGACAACCTCCAGCTGGACTATGACCTTCGATGGCAGCGACTGCAGCAAGGCGCGTCGTGTACAGACGGAGGTACAGATCTTGAAGAGACGTCCAGAATTTGGTGATCTTCGCTGGCTGTTTCAATTTTAATGTTGCGGTAAGAAATGTGATTCAGACACACACACACATAAAGTACAAAATTTTCACTAGAGGTCTACCTGTGGTTGATACATCTCCATGATGTCCAGACCAGCGGAGAATACCTTCTGGTTGGAAGACGCCAGGATGAAGCCGCTGCAACAAAAAGGAATTATTCATACACCAGACGTGTCAATCCATGGATCGACGCGCGAGTTCCAATGGTATCGGATCGTACCGCACGCTCTTATCGTCTTCAAGCTTCTTGATGGTCGCATCCAGCTCTCGGATCAACTGTCCAAGTACACAACATATACATTAGCTACAATCGACTCTAGTACGTCTCTGCAGTCCCACGTACAGTCGTGTTGAGCGAGTTGACGGGTGGGCGGTTCATCCGCACGACCGCGTACTTGTCCTTCTTCTCCACCAGCACCAGCGGTTCACTCGACGAGGAGAAAGCGCGTGTCGCCAGCGCACCCAGACGTGGCGGATACAGCAGCGCAGGCTTCATGATGGTAGGTAACATGGTGGTCGTCGTGGGGTCTCCGATAATGAAGCAGAGCTCAAACGTGGATCTTGGGATTCCGACGTGTGACGTGAATAAGCAGCTTCAATTCTATCATTTAGCATAATAAACTATTTATAGCAGGTTTTTAAATGGCTACAGTTTTCACGTGCGTCACACCACAAGATTGTTTGAGCAACGTCCATCGATCGGTGGCGCCCATCATAATCCCATTCCAACGCAAGGGCGCCACTCGATCATGACGACGCCAAGCGGTAAGACTGTCGGCATCTGCGGCGCCACGGGTGCTGTGGGCATCGAGATCATCTCGGTGCTGGCTGCGCACAAGTTCCCGGTCAAGCAGCTGGTGCTGTTCGCGTCCTCTCGATCGGCCGGTAAGAAGGTGGAGACACCATTCGGAGAGGTGACCATCTCGCTCTTCTCGGTGGAGAAGGCGGCCAAACTCGACTACGTCTTCTTGGCTGTGTCGGGCGATTTCTCACTGCAATACGCCAAGGAACTGGCTGCGGTGCCCAATGGACCCGTGGTCATTGACAACTCGTCGGCCTTCCGTCGCGACCCGGAGACTCCGCTCGTCATCCCGGAGATCAACGGTCACGTGCTTATCCAGAAGGACGGAAAGCCGCAACCCAAACTCATTGCCAACCCCAACTGCACCACGGCCATCGCTGCCATGGCGCTCTGGCCGCTGCACTGCGAGTTTGGCATCAAGAAGCTCATCGTGTCCACATACCAGGCGGCCAGCGGAGCTGGAGCCGCCGGTATGGAGGAGCTGGCCGATGGCGCTAAGGCCTTCTTGGCTGACGAGCCTGTGACCTACAAGGTTTTCTCGTACCCGCTTCCGTTTAACCTCATCCCGCACATTGACAAGTTCCAGGAGAATGGCTACACTAAAGAGGAGATGAAGGTCACATGGGAGACGCGCAAGATCTTTGGCGAGCCCAACCTCGCTGTGAGCTGCACGGCCGCCCGTATCCCCATCATGCGCGCGCACTCGGAAGCTCTCTCTATCGAGACGGAGAAGCCCGCTAACATCGCCCGAGCCCGTGAGATTCTGGCCAAGGCGGACGGTGTGGATCTCGTCGACGAGCCGGAGAAGCTGCTGTATCCCATGCCCAAGAACGCCACCAAGAAGTTTAACATTGAAGCCGGCCGACTGCGCAAGAGCTTGGTCTTCGGCGACCACGGCCTGGAGCTGTTCGTGTCTGGTGACCAGCTCCTGCGCGGTGCGGCGCTGAACGCCGTGCTGATCGCCGAGTTCCTCGAGAACCCGCGCTCGACTCCGCAGTTTACTAAGAAGCCTACCACATGCACGCTATCGAAGGACCAGCAGCAGATGGTGCTGGGCCTCGTGGCCGGTGTCGCGGTGAGTGTGGCCTCTGTACTGGCCTACGGTCTAGTCAAGAAGAACTAAGTCAACTAAAGACACACAGCTCCGTACAGTTTCTGATCTCTTCACTCTTACTTTTACTTATCGATAAAGCGCCTCAGTGATACTTGCTATTGGAGAATTTCAATAAAGCCGTGCTGTTCGGATTGCAGGACGCACCCGCAATCCCTAGAGCATCGCTATCACATTGGAACTTCGACTGAGTCGATGTGAACTGCATACTGCGAAGGTGGCGAACAGTAACCCCATGTTTTAGCTTTCGTGTTGATTCGCTTGGCCCGCTGTTTAAATCACTTCGTCCTCCCTCACTCGACGACGGACTCAAACGACGAGAACTTGGTCCAAGACGCTTCCTGTATTTGTGCGCAAGGTGCGACTGCATCATCCGTCGCTGGTTTGGATCGATGTCTTTCTTGTCCAGCAACGCTATGACGTCAAGGCAGCACGTGAGCTCAGTTTCAACCCCGTGTTTCTAATCGCAGGTGGGCCTACCTAAGCGTGTGGAGGAGAAGGTAATGGTTTTTTCACGGTACTTTGGGGTTCCAGTAACCTCGTTGCCTCGTAGATCCAGTTCTACCAGCGACGAGACGCCACCAACTAGCGCAAAAACCTCTTCCAGGTCGCTGATGAGGTTCTTGGAAAGGTCAAGTTGCTCTAAGCAGCGCAGTAGGGTAAGCGACTTAGTGGAGACCACACGGCAATTGGAAAGATCCAATACTCGCAGAGATCCCTGCAAGGTCAGTATAATACCGTCAGGTAATTTCTAAACAGCCATCAAAGAGTGCAGCAACGACCTTACCGCCACGGCCAGGATCGTGTCCTCTTCGAACAAAAACTGCGTGTCAAGAGGCACATGTTGATTCGCCAAGTACAGTTCCTGCAACCGCGAGCAAGTCGTCAGACCCTCGAGCCGCACAATGCTATTTTTCTCGAGGTACAGCTTCTCTAGTAGCCTCAGAGGCTCCAGATTCTCAATTCTTTGCAAGCAGTTGCCTTGTAGATGGAGGTGGGTAAGCTGTGGAACCACGTCGAGGTTCTCGATAACCTCTATCTCGTTGTCATAGAGGTAAAGCACCTTCAAATTGGGGCAGTAGTGCAGGTTCTGGATCTTACGGATAGCATCAGTGTTATTGCCACCTTTCATTAAGGCTTTGCTGGCATCTCCGTTGAGTGCCAGGTGCGTGATCCGCTTGAGGTAGTGAGAGAGATGCTCCTTCTTGCCCACACTGAGCTTGGTGGCACTCAGCAACACCTCGAGAGAGATCTCCCTACCGCCAGTGCGTTGCGTTAGGGCATCGTGCTGGTTGCTGTTGGCGTCCAGGCTCTGCATGGTTTCACGAGCTTTGGGAAAATGAGACACTTCAACTTGTCGGTGGTATTAATAACCCCTACTCAGAGATGTCTATTGATAGGCAAGCAGGCGGTTACATTATAGCAGCGTCCCTGTATACCAGCGTCCCCACCTGGAGCTCAAATGTAAAGCGGGGAGAGACGACCAACAGACAAGAGCTACCTCCACTTAGTTTTGGACCCCAACATGGGAGAGGAATGGTATCTGCCACGCACTTGTTGTCAGATGGCGAAATGTGTTCTGTTGTGGCGCTGTTTTAGCATCCGGTGGTAGTAGTCTACACACTATGCGACATGAAGGTTTTGGATTGGCCGAAATGGGCTTTCTCGAATCGTTTGGCAGCATTTTCGAAGACTTTTGACCAATCATCCCCTTTACACCAAACCTTTTTGACTAATCGGAACTCGCCACAAAATTTGAATGGCGCGCAGCGATGGCGACCCCCCATTTGCTTTTGAGAGCAAGAAGCCCCAAGGAAGAAGAACGGAGCAACAAATATGGCGGAAGGTTCGTCTCTGCGCAATACTCAGCACTGAAAACCCGCACGCCGTCACATCAGCAAGAAAGGCCATCTACTGGTCCGTCTTCTCGTGGCGCACGCGTGGCTCTACGTGCTTTCCAGCCTTCTTTGGATGAGCAAACGCTTTGACTGACGTGGCCTGTATCTCGTTTTGTCAACTCATAGGAAGATCTACATACGTGCCGCCGCACATGCGTGGAAGCGGCGGCGGTGGCGACCGCGGCGACGACGATCGTCGTGGAGGCTTTGACGACCGTCGCGGCGGCTACGGCGGCAATGAACGTCGAGGCGGATCACGTGAACGCGGCTACGGAAACCGCAGCGGCTCTCGCGAGCGTGGCGATGGCCCTCCTCGTGCGACGAACTCGCGATGGTCTGGATTTGAGTCGGAACGTCGAGACGACCGCCGAGGAGGCTACGGTGACGACCGTCGTGGTGGTTACGGAGGCGGAGGCGGCTACGGTCGCGGCGGCGGCGGCGGTGGCGGTGCCCGCGTGAACGAACTAGGCTACCACGGCGACGTTCGCCGCAACGAACGCCTGGAGCACGAGCTGTTCGGTGACGCCAAGTCGTCCGGTATTAACTTTGACAAGTACGACGACATTCCAGTTGAGACGAGCGGCGAGAACGTGCCCGATCCGGTCACCGAATTCGCGGAGGAGCAACTCGGCCCCGAGGTTATCCGCAACCTGGAGCTGTGCAAGTACTCGAAGCCCACACCCGTGCAGAAATACTCGATCCCGATTGGTCTGGCCGGACGTGACATGATGGCATGTGCCCAGACAGGTTCTGGTAAGACGGGTGGCTTTCTGTTCCCCACGCTAGCGGCCATGCTGCGTGTGGGCGGCACGCCTCCACCCGACGTCGGCCACGGCCGCTCGCGCAAGATTTTCCCGGCCGGTTTGATCCTGTCGCCCACGCGTGAGCTGGCGTCTCAGATCCACGACGAAGCGAAGAAGTTTTGCTACTGCACGGGTATCGCGCCCGTTGTTATCTACGGTGGTGCAGAGGTCGGCCGTCAGTTGCGTGAGTTGGAACGCGGTTGCGACCTGCTTGTGGCCACTCCCGGCCGCCTTGTGGACCTGATGGAGCGTGGCCGTATCTCTCTGTCATGCATCCGCTTCTTGATTCTGGACGAGGCCGATCGAATGCTGGACATGGGTTTCGAGCCCCAGATTCGCCGCATTGTCGAGCAGGAGGACATGCCTCGTGAACGTCAGACCTTCATGTTCAGTGCCACGTTCCCGTGTGAGATCCAGCGCCTCGCGTCCGACTTCCTGCGTGATTACATTTTCCTGACGGTTGGCCGTGTCGGCTCCGCTTCGAAGGATGTGAAGCAGACAGTGGAGTACATTGAGCAGTACGACAAGGAGGACTACCTTGTGCGTTTCCTGAACCAGGTGCAGGATGGTTTGATCTTGGTGTTCGTGGAGACCAAACGCGGCGCTGATTTCCTGGAGGACATGCTGTGCCGTGAAGGCTTCCCGGCCACGTCAATCCACGGTGACCGCTCGCAGCGTGAGCGTGAACAGGCCCTGGCCAGCTTTAAGTCGGGCCGTACGCCCGTGCTGGTGGCCACTGATGTGGCTGCCCGTGGTCTAGATATTGATGGTGTGACTCAGGTTATTAACTTTGACCTGCCCAACAACATCGACGACTATGTCCACCGTATCGGCCGTACCGGTCGTGTGGGTAACGTGGGTTACGCTCTCTCGATGATGAACGAGAAGAACCGTAACATCGCTCGTGAGATGTACGAGCTGATGGCGGAGAACGGCCAGGAGATCCCGGCCTTCCTGGACCAGATGGCCAGCAGCGGATTCCGTGGTGGAGGCCGCAGTGGCCGTGGCGGCCGTGGTGGTCGTGGCGGCTCTCGCTTCGGTGCTAAGGATTTCCGAAACGAAGAGCGTGGCGGTGGTGGAAACCGTGGTGGCAGTGGCGGCTACGGCGGCGGCTTCGGTGGAGGCGGTGGCTATGGCGGTGGCTACGGAGGCGGTGGCGGCGGCGGTGGCGGCTACAGTGGTGGCGGCAGTCGCGGTGGTGGCTCCCGCAGCGAAGACAACAGCGCCTGGTAACTTAACGGGCGGCACGAAGATGGCAAGCAGTTGTCCGCCATTAGAAGACTTGGAGCAGTGAGCGAGCGATGTCGTGGAGCTCCTCTATTTTTCATAGCGCGGAGAGTCGGAAGAAAGCTTCCTTCGATGTACAAGTAACGTCAGGTGCCCTCACAAGCCTTGCCCGCCGCTGTCCCTTTTCTGTGGGGCGCTGCGAGCCGGGATATTAGGATGCTTGATGACCATTTTGCTAGCGTGTATTATAAGGCAGCGCTCTTCTTAGAAAATATACCATCTTACCTCAGTGAACAAACACAACAACAGTAACCCGAGCTTGTCCTCCTGCTCGACTCTTAAGCTAAGCAACGTGTAGCGGAGCAGCGTTGGCCGCAAGAGCAAATTGTTGCTTGAAGATCGCAAACGATACGCTTAACGTCAACTGTACACGGAACGTGGGCCCCATGTAACATGGCATGTTCCCCACCTGCAGATCTCCCGCTTAGGCCTTAATAACCAAAGTAAGTCAAGTCAAATTAACAGAGACCGCCAGACTGAGATGACCAAGGTGCCTCGAGCCGTCGTGAACTTCCTGTCCGACACAGTCACGCGCCCCTCTGCCGCCATGCGCCAAGTGATCGCGGCTGCTGAGGTGGGCGACGACATGTTCGGGGCGGATCCGTCCGTAAAGCGGCTGGAAAAGGTGGCGGCCGAGCAGCTCGGCAAAGCTGCTGCGCTCTACGTGCCTTCGTACGTTCGATCCAAATGCGCGATTAAGCTTAAAACGCAACGTTCTCTATGTGCTCTTCTTGCGTTTAGTGGCACCATGTCGAACCTCATTGCCATTGGCACGCACTGCCGCCGAGGGGATGAAGTTATCTGCGGAGACAAGTCCCACATCTTTCTATACGAAGGCGCTGGGGCAAGTGGTGAGCACACCACCGCTATGGATCGTATGCTACGTTAGCTGACTAGAGGTTTCTGTCTTGTCTGATCTCTTCAGCGTACATGGGGGTGAGTCTGCACACGGTTCCTAACCAGGCGGACGGAACGCTGGACATCAAGGACATCCACAACGCAGTTCGGGACGACGACCCGCACTACCCGCGCACGAAGCTCGTTGAGATCGAGAATACGCAGAACACCTGTGGAGGACGGGTCCTACCTCTGTCCTATATCCGTGAGGTCGAACAGCTCTGTCACGAGCGCGATCTTCGTCTCCACGTCGACGGCGCTCGACTGGCCAATGCTAGCGTGGCGTCTGGCACCCCAATGGATGAACTGGTTCGCGGTGCTGACTCGGTCTCGCTATGTCTAAGCAAAGGATTGGGCGCTCCCGTGGGCTCTGTCCTTGCCGGGTCAGAAGAATTCATCCATCAGGCCAAGAGGTTCCGCAAGTCGCTCGGTGGTGGCATGCGCCAAGCTGGTATCATTGCATCGGCAGGGCTGTACGCGCTTGAGAACCAGTTCGATCGTCTCGTGGAAGACCATGTGAATGCGCAGGCACTCGCTCACGGCATCTCCAGCATCCCTGGGGTTGAAACTAACCTGGACACTGTCGACACGAACATTGTCTTCTTCGCATTGACCCCCGACGCCAAGCTGAACGCCACGACGCTGGTGCAGAAACTGGAATCCGAGAAGGGAGTGCTCGTTGGCGCCTACGCCGACGGTAACCGTGTGCGGGCGGTGACCAACCTGCATATTTCCAGCCAGGATGTTGAGTATACCGTGGCGTCGATCCGTGCGCTGTTGAGCTGAGATCATGGCGGCTTGACTCTACGTGCGCATTGATGACAAAAGCGACGGTCTGAATCTTGGTGCTACTCATTTGCTGTCCACATGCGTGTGCTGCACCACTCCTTATCGATCACGACGTAGGGACTACGTCATAGTTCCACCGCACGAATGTTCCTGCTAGTTAGTCTCGGGGGTTTGTATGTGATGCAAAATACTGTAAGGAGCTTGGGTAAAATCTTGTTGGGTATGGAAAGGAAAAGTACATGTAAAACCCGTTTTCGCGTCCTTTTGCTCGACTGTCGTCTATCTTTCTGGTGCTTGTCATGTCGCTGCGATCAGCGCAACTTGCATGCTATTTTCACCAACTCTCGCCCATCTCGCTACGTCAGCATCAGCGCCGCCACCAGCACTTCAGCCTCCCCATTTTCAGACCATCCAGCTCCAGATCAAGACCATGACCGCAACACGCCGCGTAATTAACTTCATGTCGGACACCGTCACGTGTCCGACGCAAGGCATGCGCAAGGCCATGGCAGCCGCCAAAGTGGGCGACGACGTCTACGGCTTGGACCCCACCGTCAAGCAGCTTCAAAAGGTGATGGCCAGCATGCTCGGCAAGGAAGAGGCCATGTTTGTGCCCTCGTACGTACATTGTTTGCTGCTTGGTTCCATTCCTGAAGTTTGCTCATCCCCCTTCTGAACTTTACTCGTCACTGTGCCTCTTCAGTGGCACCATGTCCAACTTGATCGCCATCGGCACGCACTGCCAACGCGGCGACGAGGTCATTTGTGGCAACAAGTCGCACATTTTCACATACGAGGGCGGCGGTGAGTCTCACGCTGCATTTGTCTTTTTTTCTTCTTTTCGCTACGAGACGGGATGCTCACTGCTTCTTCTTCTTCTTCTTCTTCTTCGAATGCACAGCCTACATGGGCGTCAGCTTGGCAACCCTGCCGAACCAGCCGGACGGGACGATCAAGCTTAGTGACATGGCTCACGCTGTCCGCGCCGATGACATGCACTACCCGCGGACGTCGCTCGTTGAGATCGAAAACACACACAACACGTGCGGTGGGCGAGTGCTGCCTCTCTCGTATATCCGTGACGTGGAACAGTTCTGCAAGGATCACAACCTGAGCCTTCACGTAGATGGTGCGCGTCTAGCTAATGCCAGTGTGGCTTCTGGAGTCGCTCTTGAGGACCTGGTGAAGGGAGCTGATACTGTCTCCTTCTGCCTTAGCAAGGGTCTGGGCGCCCCCGTCGGCTCTATGCTAGCTGGATCTGAGGAGTTCATTCATCATGCTAAGCGGCTGCGCAAGTCTCTTGGCGGCGGTCTGCGCCAGTCGGGGATAGTTGCCGCTGGTGCTCTCTACGCACTAGAACACCAGTTCGACCGCCTTGCGGAAGATCACGAGAACGCGAAGACACTTGCACATGGGCTGTCCACAATTGCAGGTATTGAGATCGATGTGGACAGTGTGGACACCAATATGTTATTCTTTAAGGTGTCTTCCGACTTCAAGATCGACACGCCCACGCTAGTGAAGAAAGTTGCAGAGGAGAAGGGAATTATTTTCGGAGGGTACTGGAGAGGTGACGAGATCCGTGCGGTGACCAACTTGCACGTAACATCCGACGACGTGAAGTATACAATTGCTTCCGTACGTGATATTGTTGCGGCCAGCGAGACCAATTTTCAGGTTGCTTAAAGAGCTGGACCTCACGTGACTCGATAAAAAGTTGTCATAGTTCAAGAATCTAAACCTAAGATTATGTTAGAATTCACGGAGAAGACACCACGTGACATATGGAGAATTCTAAGCGTTAACCTTAAGAAACATCTCGTGCCCCGCGAATGGTGATGTGCTTTTAGCGCTCGTCTTGGGATGTTTATCGCCAGGGACCACAATAAGAGAGCGGTTTATCAGCAAGGACCACAAACGAAGCAATTGGCAGATAATGTAGTAGTTTCAAGTAGATCGTCAAAACCTTGCGTGTTCTCAGTCTCCGATTCTCTGGGTGCCGCTCACCACGCCACCGATAGCACCGAGGGAGTTGGCAGTGCGCGGTGTGGTAACAATACCCAGGGCTGTTAAAACCGAGGGAGGTGTGCTGGGCGTTCGGTGCCAAGAGATGAAGCCGTTCGCAGAGGTACGTACGCATTTATTTGCGCTCAATTCATTGTGCATGCACAATACTGTTTGTGTATATCCGCTATTGTGATGGATGGCATCGTACGAGGACGTCGAGCTGTTCCACAAGGTATTTAATGCTATTGGTCATGCTGATTGCCAGCCTCTCACACTACTCCGTCTTGTTAAACGTTCCTCACTGATAAATCCAACATGTTGGCAACTTCTGCTTTATTAAATGTGAATTTGGAAGTTTGAAAAGTACTTAAAGGCTAATTCCCAATACGGTTCGTTCTTCTAGCATTGAAGGAAGAAAGCACTGCAGATATCTAACTATCAACTGCAGCTTCGTATCCGCTATGAATTCCACAGATTGCGAACGGACAGCTGCAACCTACAAGATACTTTCCGGGTTTGATAGGGACGCCAGTTTCCTCGCGTTCCTGGCTGACAATCGTGCATCTCTTGGCATTGTGCCCAGTCTCACCACATTGACCACAGCGGTATTGTTGACGCTTTTTCACTGTTGCTGCACTCAATTGCGAAGCAAAAAACGCGTCTATTGCATGACCATCATCTTCTGCATCGATTGCCTCGTCACCTCTACCACCTCATGCTGCTGTAGCTCGTTCAATTCCTGCGGAGGCAGTAGGCGGAGCATGTAACCTAGGTGTACATCCCTTCCCATTCCCTTCTCCCTTGTTTCGCTCCCGTTTGAATTTGCTACTTCGGTTTGCCTTTTGAGCTGTTCGCTGAAGCGACTGACCGGCCTGTCGATAGTACGGTGGAGGTCTAAGCGCTTGGCTAACTTCATATGCAGAATCACTAGGCATGTGAATTGACAAGGTGGACATCGCCGCATGCAAGTTGGTTACCAAATACGCGCTGTGGAAATACTGTTGGGATCTGTATAGCAAAGGTGTCGCCTTGTTCTCAGAAGCTAGGCGAAAAAAAACAGCTAGAATATGGCGGCACGGGATCTTTAGCTGATCCGACACAACACACTTCGAACAGTGTCCAGACGCCATCTTGACCTCATACAGCGTGGCACACCCTGTTCTTGCTGACGCCCCAAACGCATCGAAGACCAGAAAATTTGGTGCTGCAGCAGGCATCACAGTGAGTTTTCCTACGTTAGCTTGCTCTTGCTTCATGAGTTTCATTGCGTGTGGTATTAAGCCACACCCATCTGCCTTCCATTCTGCAAATAGTGCTACACGCTTGGTGCACACAGCGATCGACCGAAAACAAAATGCACGTAAGGACTCGTATACACGTTGCGTCCGAGCGCCACCCCAAAGTAAGCCGTTATTATCGCCCTCCACGCCGCTTGTTGTTCGAACACCGAAGAGTGGTAAGGCTTTGCCATACGCTTCGATACCAGTCCATTAAGTATGTAGCCAGTTCTGATCTGCGACATTTTCATATTGCCAACTATAGCCCAGCTTGTAGGGTGTATTCTGTGCAGGTAGCTCCAAACAAATTCGTGTACAGTCTTATCTCCGACCACTTTACTGATTGGGTCAGGGTAACTTGCCTCGATGTGAGAAATTGATTAATCAAACGCAGCAGTTGTATGTGAGGCTTGCAATCGAAACACGTCATTGTTGACGTCGGGCTCACTCACACTCAATGACTTAAATTTGTCTATTGTGTTGAAGCGTAAATGAACACAACAAAACTTCAGATGCAGGTTAATTCCCCACTGCGCCAAGACCAGTTGCGCGCCTAACTGCTTGCCTCTGTCCGTGAAGGTGGCGCAGTCGTCAAGGTGGATACCAGCAACTTTACAATTAGTAAAGAACCAAGCAAAATTGTCTATAGTTTCCTTGTGAACGTTGGCTACGGCGACAGGAATGTTTTTCTTATCTCCATCCTTTCCAATAATCGACAAGCACACTCCATTATACTGAAGGTGCTTCATGTGGGCTCCATCCACCTCCAAGACCGGCAACATTGCATCTTGTATGCGTACGATGCTGCCAATAGACAGAAACAAGCGGTACAGTAGAATCGGTTTTGGGAGTCCAATTGAAGACACACGTGCGAGCCAGGATTTCACAACGCGAATGCCTTCAAAAATCCAGGCAACATGTCAAATTCAACTTCAGGGATCAAAGTAAGACTGGCTTTAGCTTGGCGAATAGATCGGTACACGACTGCAGGCTTAGCCCGAAGATTAATACCATCAACTTTGTCTACATTATTTACTACCGAGTGAGCGCTGTGCTGTGATTGTCAAAAATCGCAGCAGTAAAACCAGTGAGCTCTTTAAGTTGCCGCCCGTGTACGTCTAACGAAGTTGTACAACACTGAGAGTGCACCAAATGCAATTAAGATATATACCAAGCTCCAGAGGGTACATGCGCGAGCTTCGTAGCTCGCTTCGGCTTGGTCACGCCGGACTCGGTTTTTGATGCCCTTTTCTTCGTCAAAGCAGCAAACCAGTCACAACCATGTGACGTGCACACAAACGTCTTCATATTCCCGTATGAGTACTTTCTGTAGACGCTCATGTTTGCATTGAGGGCGTAGTCCCTAACGAACGCCCCCACAGCAGCAAGATCACCGAAGAAGGCATGTTGAACGAGCTGGTCTTGGCCATGAAGGCGTATCAAGTCGAGCTTGGTCATGACTAGGGATGAGGAGGTGGGTTTCAGAATTGAGAGGCCTCCACCGTGCGTGTATATCTATAATATGGTACCTACGCCAAGAGCACGAAGACGGCCTCGCTATATTAAGACTATGAACCCCAATGAAATTTATCCTAAGAGAAAGGATCAAACATTTCCGAGCCAAAAATAGGCTGCTTGATTTTATCCTATGGCTCCTTTTGCGATAGGATAAAATTGTCTACATTCACTCTTCATCGCCCCCTTCAACTTAAGCGATTCCGCGCGGATTGCTCCAACAAGCATGGCCGACTCCGATGCTGAAGAATTGCTATCAGAGCGTGAAGATGACGGCGAGCTTGATAGTTCGACCATCTCAAAGTGGAAATGCGTCGAACAGACGTCATTAGAGCTCGGGATTGATGATGTGGAGCAATACCTTCTCGCGAAGACAAGACTAGAGGTCCCCCGGGTGGCTGAGCGTCTGATGGCGCGTATGTACGGCAAACGTTCACGTCCTCTCCAACCTGAACTTCCTGTTAAGGACATCGTACAATTGTGGCTAGATCCGACCGTGCTGATGCTGACAATGCAGCATATCAATGCAAATCTGGATACCAGCGAGTTTGCAACGGTGAATGAAGTAAAAAACATGCTTGAAGTGGAGCTGTGGTTGTGCTTCTACAGTATTTCGCCGACAAAGTTCTATGCTGAAGAAAACAAGAGGTACTATCCTCCTGCAAACAAAGCAATGAATCGTAGGCGATATTACACGTTGTTGAATGCACTTGAGACCCCAAGTGCGGCTATTTCTACTTCTTCAGACTTTTGGAATGCCCCATTTTCACCGGACCGCCATTTATCTCAAGCAATGGATGCATTGCGTCGAGTGTGCTCCGAAATAGGATTTGTAAACGAAGTTTCGATTGCCAGTCTGGATGGTGATTTGCTGAGACTTCGCTCGAAATCGGTTGATGATCTCGGGCTGACGAGAGCTCGAAATCCAGCAGAACGGTAAGCATGTAATGCACATGTTGCTATATATGCTCATAGTACGCACTAACACGATCATGTGCCTAGATTCGGTCCTGTACAACACGGCATCGTGTCGCTGGTCACCGGATTATTCTTGTGAAGTCATGTGGCGTCCAGAGGTGAGACTGTGGTTGACGTGCTGCGAACTCGGATGCGATCGCTCTGTGGTGTATCCACGGATAGCCAAATTAAACTTCCGGGGGTTGTCGTTGCTTTGGATCGTGGATATCAGTCCAAGGAAGTAAACCACCAAATTATGGAGTGTGGCGGCATAGTTATCGGGACTCATAAACGTGATCGCAGCTTTCCGGAAAACTTGGTACTCAGAGGCAGACAGTGATGACGGAGAAAGGTGCCAAAACCACAAAATGGGCTACCATGAAGCACTCTGTCAGATCTACAGAGAGCACTTCTACGATGTGCGCTTTGGCTTATCGTTCTGGGCTTGGTAGTGTTGTACTATGCAACACTTCACTTAAATCGACTGGTCCTGGAAAATGGTCGTATATTCCATTGCCTAGACCACAACAAGCTCATCATGACATCTAAGGAAACGAATTTGCGAGTTTTGAAAGACGTGTGCTTATTCTGACGGAATATCAGAGAACTCCCGACGGGTTTCTCATACGCCAATTTCGCATTACTGGACTTGTTGCAGTTCAGATTCTCCGCGCAATTTTGCTAAGGCTTCTGAGAGTCCTGACGAGCTAGAACAAGTCTCCGAGAATCGGTGCAGTGTTTATCACAACTTGACGCAGCAGACTTCCGTTCAACTGGTGCAGAAAATATTAGGTATTATGACTATTCAATCTCTGGTGCATCCCGATCTTCAACTGGTAGTGAGATTCCATCAGAGTCGGCTCTCAGCACAATGAAAAACAAGGAGTTGCAACAGCTGTGTCGTGAGCAAGGACTCACAGTGTCAGGAAACAAACGTGAGCTTATCGGCCGTCTTTTGAACGGGGAAAGTGACACAAATTCGAAAAAGAACACGATTAAATCTCCCGCTGCAGCGCTACTTAGCGCTTGGTTCTTAGCTCTAATATCGTCTACGGACATGAAAGTTGGACCTAAGAACGAGGAAAACATTTGCTCACGTGTACCAAGGTTTCTTGAAGCACACTCAAACTTTCGCATTCTTCACACGAAGTCTTGTGGTCTGCTTTGTTGGGACGTTGAACGACTGCCACAGCTACGTACCTTTATTGATTTGTGAATATGATGCATGATACAGCCCTGACGAGCGCTGTTTGGCATTTTCTCCGGATGATATCGCATTGGTAACTCGGCCTTCTAGTAATATTTCGTTTTTTGCTGTACTGGAGTATAAAACGAAGCCTAGAGGCAATACTGTCGACACAGAGCGAAATATTGCAGTGCGATGCGGTAAACTCGCAACTGTAGAGCTGAATTCTCATTCTGATAGTCGGTACTTGAAGACGTTGATTTCCGACCAAGGGCACCGATCTCAGCTGCTACACAACATCATTTCTGGGACTCTAAGAGATGGATTCATTGTGTATGCGTCGTCAACAGCAATACTACGTGTCGTTCACGTTGTAATTGGTGACGATATTGTGGATGCTTATCGACTTGCTCTCCGGAATATCAAAAAAGCATGCATGGACTGGATCTACACACCCGACGCTCCCGTACCACCGTTTACAGTAGACGAATTAGGACATTGTGGAGACGTATCAACGCTGAAGCAGCATCTCGCGTTATGGCGAATAGTTGTGGCTAAAACCGAAGAACGTGGAGGCCCACTACCTGCAGCAAAACACATAATCCCCAGCGTGATAGCGATCTGGAATCGAGTCAAAGGAGGAATCGACGTATATTCCCGGTACCTGAAGAATATAAAGCCATCGCACGAGGATTTACCACCCCTCGCTGCTATTTGGCTGCGGTTTTTGATGACTTTAGTTTACAACGCGTTCCAGTCAGCCCAGTTACTCAGCGTACGTTGTACATGCGATCAATACACTGTACATGTACTCATTTCTGCGTATGCTTTGCTTAATTCAGGGAACCGCGTTCTTAATGGACGAAGATAGGTGCAAGTCCTACAGCAACTATTAACAACACAAAAGTGAAAATGCATCATTTCGAGATTTTTGCCGAGATGCCGCAAGCTGTTTGGGAGGAAACGCTTATGACGACGACAGTATCGATGCACCAAGACGACCGCTTTCTGAGTTTGATACAAATGTCTTGAGCGCGAATGAGCTGGGAAGCATTCTTTTGAAGCCGCATTCGTTTGCGTACCGGGTACGTGATCATTTTGACGATGACCCCGAATGGTGGAAGCTTCGAAAGTCCAGTTGAGAGCTCACAACGAGGTATGATCAGTTCATTCATTTTGTGGTTGTGAAGCTAAAGCATTGACACTAACTACGTTTCTTCAGAGGTTGCTGCTTTCCGGAAAACAACTTCGATGTGTGCTGTGCTGTGAACGAGATCATGGTGAAGAGAACACTACCCACCATCGACTAGGATACAAGACTAGATACGAATGCTCCTTATGCAAGGTTGCTCTTTGCCACACGTCACGCTGGGAGAACGATGAATCTTGCTTTGACAAATTTCATTCATCGGCCAAGCTGCCCGATGCGTGTCAGCAAGCAGCAACAAAGTCCAGGCAAATTCGTGCTCCACCCCCGTTGCGTAAAAGATCACCAGCATCGGTTAAACAGTTTGAGCGACGAGTCACCCGACACAAATCAAAGCCACTGCGGCGATCGGTAAGCTTGTCTACTGAGTCCGCCGCATAATAGTTTATCCTAGGAACTAGGATAAAACTCCATCTTTAGCAAAGGTTAAGCGTCACACTTAAGCTTGTCTTTACATCATCAATGCGCATGCGTTTGGGCTGAGGTCCTCGAACCTTGCTAAACGAAGTCTTGACGTCATGATGAGCCTAAAAATTTTCAATTTGTGCTCTGGTTGCTCCAAGAGAGGCCATCAAAATTGATCCTTCCATTTATCCTACCAAAATAGCTCACTGGGGTTAAAGAGACTACATTATCTGCCAATCGCTTCCTTTGTGGTCCTTGCTGATAAACCGCTCTCTTATTGTGATCCCTGGCGATAAACATCCCTCGTCTTGTACTATTGTGATCCAATCGATTTGTCCCCAGAAAATAGCGCTTTAATAGCAAGCCGACGAGTTAGGTGAAAATGTAGATGATGGCGATGATGTGCTTAGCCCCCCCCCGCACTTATAGGTTGTATTTGACGGCATGTGACCAAAAGGTGCGCCATGTCCTGTTTTTCCGCATATTGTATATACAACATGTTAAAGACACTCAGGGTTAGGCTGAAAAATGCACAGAACACGCACAAAAAACTCCTCAGATTTGTCACAAAGATTGCTGACCCTCGCCTCGTGTAACCCACTGATTTCACACATTCGAGAAAAAGCAACGGTGGCCAGAGATGGTTGGCCGACGCAAAATGCGTCGCGAGTCAGAAGCCTTCCTCGGAAGGCAAAAGCTCGGAGGATCGGGTGCGCTTGACTGCCCAACACACAGCATACCTGAACGGAGAGAGGGAGACGGATGCTGACTTCGGGAACGAGGCCGCGGGGGCAACGCAGATGACTACGGTGGCCGCGCCAATGACGAAGGTAAGGCAGACGACGCCGGCTATGACTCGTGGGCGATCCATTTCGGCGCTTCCGAGCCGACCACCTGTTGGAAAGACGGCGTCGTACATTGCACTACCTTCTCTCGACTGACAGCAGTACATCTATTGAAACCTGCGGTAAGTTACTTTTGGGTCGTGTCTTAGTGATGGCGGCTTCCTAACTTATGCTGTTGTTGTTGTACCATCGAAGGGCGGCATCTACGTGGCGGCAGAAAGGAAATCATACCCTGCCCATCAGCGATGCGCGACTATCATCGCTGGATGGGCGGGGTTGATATCCACGACCAGCTAAGGCTACAGCGCTATTCGCTGCAACTCTCGGTGCGCTTTTGAAAGTACTACAAGACGGTCTTCTTAGGCCTAGTCGACATGGCACTCGTGAATGCCTATATCATTTTCCGTGAGGCTCGGAAAATGGTTAGTGGAGGTGCTGATCATGCCGAGTTTTTAGCAGAGTTACAGGCGCAGCTTTTGCAGGTCACTTCAGCTGACTTCATTGATGAGGTATATACTACATGTTTGCCGGCGATCATGTGGTAGATGTTGTAGCGTATCTGACTCAATTATTATCATGCAGACATTTTCACCGGTACCTTCCGACCAAAATGTGGCCTCGATATCGGCTGCCCACAAATTGACCGCGTTTCCAGAGTGGACCCAGAAATCCGGGAAGGTGTTCGGAAGAGGCCACAGCACCAGTGCAAGGTCTGCTCGATTCGCAAGCAGAAGGTCGGCCAGCGCAGTGCAACGCGGTTCTATTGCGAGGCATGCAGCGACGGCAGCAAGTAGTAAGTGTGACAGTGGCTTATGCAATCGTACTTTGACTAATTGTGCTTCTTCATGCACAGTGTCTACCTCTGTGACCGAGTCCGGCCGGGCCACTACCCAGGCAACACCATGACATGCCACCAGATCTGGCATGTCATGTGGAAGAACGGAGAGGAGCGGCCTCACCCTCGTGTTGGTCGTGGAATCCAGATACGCAGCCCGGCAAAGAAGCGCCGACGCGCCGCTAGTGATCGGGAAGAAGGCGGCGGCACGGAGGAGGGAGGCGCTGGCAGAGGTACTGTGGAGGGGGGGGGGCGCTGGTTCCGACACTGATGGCGGCGCTGAAGAGAGAAGTGGTGAGGAGGGATATGCTGGAGAGGACGATAGCGAGTAAGAGTGGGCTTGTCGATGAATACCTAACCTGATTTATATAAATGTCTTGCAATCATTGATGACTGTACACATAGCCATAGCACCTCGTACATGGCATGTTCGAGACATGTAAAGGTGACACTTCTAATATGTTGAGTATACGTCTTCTTCAGGTTTGTTGGCGCAGCGTGGGTGTCTTAGACAGCATGTGGATACATAGCGCTGCGAAGAAGCTCGCAATCAATGTATCACCGAGCGTCTGATCTTCCCGCAGTGCAGAAAACGTATTCGTACTTACGGAGGTCAATAAAA